AATGTGTCAATGAAAATCTTTGGGCTGCAGCTTGAAAAAGGCAGATGTAGCCCTCAACAAATTCTACAACTGCAACAGAAGTTAATTCTTCTAGGTTGAATTTCACACTTTTACAGAATTCACTTTGTTTCTTTGTTGCAAAATGATGTACGCTGAGATGCTGAAGCTTTCCACTCATTGGTGAACGACTTCACTGATAGGTTCTGTTAAAGTTTGCAGCTACCAATGATAGGTTGTGTCCAATGTATGAAGAACACACAATGTTCCCTTAAAGTATTAGGTCATACAAGAAATCTCAAAGAAGCTCTGCATCGGGACAAGATTTATGACTACGAAGCTTGGATTCTTCTGAGTTTGTACTATATTTAGGCTGTATATAAAGTAGACAACAAATACTGGCCAGGGAGAGATATCATATTGGCTTCCTATTGGATGAGGGCTGGGGAAGTACCTCTGATTGTGGTTCACGCCATGATCCTGCAATAGAACAATAATTGAGCTGGGTAGTACATGCACTGAAGTATGTTAGTGTGATATAATTGTTTAAATATTTCATTCTTTGTGAATGGGGATATTTTGTAATTGGTGGCAGGTTGTGTTTAGTGTAATTCATAACTTCAAATTTCTTTCTACTGTATTGATGAAAATCCTGAGACAGTGAGGTTTGGAACTTTTCAAGGGAAAGTTTGCATACTATTGGAAAATGATTATATTTAAAGGAGTAAGATTAATAGTAATACCTTGCCTGCTTATGTATGATATTCATCGTTTTCTGCCCATAATAATCTCTACAATAACTTTTATAATTGTAAATATTACTCAGAATCAGATCTGACATAATGGAATTTGTGGGGGCTATCATGTGACTGAGATCTACACGTGTCACTTACCTGTCCTTGTTCCTCATCTATGTTTACTTCTGCTCCATACACATCCTGAACAGAATACACTTCTGCCATTAAATCATGATGCAGCCAGAACCATTCATTTCACAACATAATGGTATGCGACACATTCATTTAGTTTCACGTTCACAGATCATAGTAAAACCTCCTTTAAGCTCACTGTAACAGTCTTACAGATTGTGTCCTCATGATGGTATTGTTTAATTGCTGCTTCAGTTTTAGGATATAATTTGTAACATATCCTCTTCCCTGGTGTTGCAAATATCCATGTTTTTTAAGTCCTGTGCCTTCCATTCCATGAAAACACTGTTTTATATAAGTCTGATCAGCTGTATAAGGATTGGGTGTTAAAATTCGAACTTAGTTATTAATGTTTACATTTTTAAACCAGTTATATAAATTCACCATCAGCAGGAATCAATCATTGAGCATTTATGGTTTAGGATACTTCAATGGGCCCAATTCACCTGCTCTGACACCCACAGCACTTTCAGCAGCTGTAGTTATGCGGTCAGGTAACATTAAGAGTTTAGTAATTCCTTTTTGTGGCACTGACAAGACTATAATTTGACACTTCAAAACTTCAGGTGGGGCAGAAGGCCCTGGTTGAAAGTTACAGTCCTGTTTCTCAACACTTATGGCATTATCAGTGTTGTGTTTTGCATTTAATGTATGCTTATATATTAATACATGGATCTTTCCAAGCAAAAAACACAAATTATGTGTACTGCAAAGCTTTTAAAATTGTAATGTGATTACTTTTGAATGGTATTTTGTAAGAAGATTTGGTCCTTTGTATAGATTACAGTAGGAATGTTGCCTGTCTTCTTACATATCAAATATTTCTTTTTGTGAAACACATTGTAAGTCTAGTGAATCATCAAGTGAGAAAACTGAAATACTCACATTGGACGGACTATCTTTTATAATTGTAACTGTTAGTGTGACGGACCAAAATGAAACAAATCAAATACATTGTTGTAAGTTTACCCCTCTTGGATCTGCAAGAGTTCTGTTTCTTCTTGTGCGAGATTCAGAACTAGAAACTTCCATCCTCCATCATTCATTTAATTTAATTCATTGCATAGCCTCTATAAAAAATACCTATGTAACATAACTGTATTCTTGTGACATTTTAAATTTCTGGGGAATGAAGTAAATTTGCAACAGAACTTCACTACCATACATCATACACTGGCATGCTTCATACTGACAATGCAGTGGATCTTGCACATGCAAGGTAAAACATGTTTAGCTACTTAATAAAGATGACTATATTTAAATCAAGGGGGGCACGCGGTCGCGTAGTGGTTGAGGCACTATGCTACAAGCCGGAAGGTCGTGGGTTCAAGTCCTGATGAGGTCATTGGATTTTTTCAATTGACCTAATTCTTCCAGCCGCACTATGGCCCTGGGGTCGATTCAGCCTCTAACAGAAATGAGTACCAGGAATTAATTAAATAATTTTCCTGGGGAGAAAAGCGCAGCCGGCGCGTAAGGCTGACAACCTTACCACCATCCTTGAGCCGATTGTCTAGATAATGTGGGACCCTCAATATCTCACAACCCTATGGGCCTTCACAGCCTGGTACAGGGATAGCTTTACATTTTTTTATGTTTAAATCAAAATAAAATGCTGGTGACCCAAATGAACAACAAAATTGTGCTTCTAAGTATGTAATGCACTTTAATGCATTAAGAAAAATTTAAAATTTTAATTTCTTTCATCAAATTTTAATAGATGACTCATTCAAAGCTACATTATCTTTATCACTCATCATAACAGCTCAATCATTTGTTTACCATGTGTTACATAAAGTTGCACACTTCTTATAAAAATAACAGCATGGTGTCAGATGTGACAGTAACTATATGATAAATAAACATAGACTCTATTTTTCAACAGATGTGAAATTGGTCTTCATTAGTTTTAATTTGATGTATGAATCATTGCAATTGATACACAAATACGGAAATGGCACAACTGCTTGCTCTTTCACTGTAATGATAGCAACACAAGAAACCAAAATTCAAAGGGCTACCGCTTAAGCTTTCAAACTCAAAACTCTCTTCAAAGAAGAAAAAGGAAAAGGAAGATGTTTTCATCTTCCTAAATATATATATAAAGCAAATCTATGTGGTGATGCATGGATCTTTTATGAAAAGACTTGTGGTATACTTTGATAATGGAGAGGAAGGGGTTGAGAGAGAGAGAGAAAATCTGTAGACAAACACAATTCATGGCAATGGATGTAGCACTATGAAGATCGTTACTATGATACAGTTATACAATAGAACTATAACTCAACAGTTCATTTACCATATATATATATATTCCAAATGCATTCTTTGCCATTTCTTGCAGGATAGCTATGATGTTCCTGCATGACACACATAAGTCTACTCTTGCAAAGCTTCTCATACAATTTTTAGTATGGACACCCCCCCCCCAGTACTAAATTTCACCAAAATCCATTAAGTATTTTTGGAGCTGAAACATGCAGACAAGACAATATGATCTCATAGTCTGTGTTCAGTTTAGGAATTCTGTGCAACAAACACAACATGATATGGGTATAATATGTGAATATGGATCACTTCAATATGAACAAATTCAAATAGCAATGGGATAGAAAATAACAGGAAATGTATAATTATAAACAAAATCATGTTATAAATAGAACTGAAGAAAAGTACAAGACATGAAAGTTTAAATTGTAAGAGTTCTGACATACAATTTTAATCACTTTTCTCGCCCATGATATGTATACAGTTGCCGTCTTGTAGTGCACTCAATTTCACCTGTTACTTCACGACATGTTTTGGCAACATAGTGCAATCATCAGGTACCCTAATTACGCTAATCTATTTCATTGCATGCCTTTATAAAATTATTTAAAAAGTGCATATTTGTCAACTATAATGAACATACACACACTAAAACTTGTTAAGATTATTCATCTTATGTGTCATAATTAAAACTTGTGTGTGGTTCTCCCACTATGGGGGTCGTTTTCTTATATTCTGCGTAAACCGTGTCTTGTGACCCCCATAGTGGAAGAACCACACACAAGTTTTAATTGACACATAAGATGAATAATCTTAACAAGTTTTAGTGTGTGCATATTCATTATAGTTGACAAATACGCACTTTTTAAATACGTTTTAAATAATTTTATAAGGGCAAGCAATGAAATAGATTAGCGTAATTAGGGCACCTGATGATGGCACTATGTTGCCGAAACATGTCATGAAGTAACAGGTGAAACTGAGTGCACTATAAGATGGCAACTGTATACATATCATGGATGAAAATCAGTGCAACAGGACGCTAAAATACAACACTTTTCTCATGCCATCCCTTTTCTTAGTTTTAAACTTGCAAATTAGGTATCATCTTATTTATCCTTTTCAAGCGCAACACTGAGGTGGACTTAATTCAAAATTTCATTCTTTCAAGTCCAGTATTGAGGAAGTACCTACATTCAGCCATGTTACAGATTTTATTATGTGGACTGCCACTGTTACACAAACATTCTGGAGAAAGTTGGATTTGGGGATCTCATGGTGGGACTATAAATGAGTACCATCTTCTGGAATGTGATGCTATGTACAAGCCATCATGCCCATACACACTGCTCTTTCAAAGTACTCATCTCTCCAAGCTGTGCTTGCAGCTCTTTCTAAGGAAGCTTCCTCCTTCCATCCCCCATCACACTGCCTACAGCCCCTATTGCTTCCCAAGCCTACTAACACCTCCCACTGGTCCTCATGCCACTTTTCTCCTCTCTCTCTCTCTCCCTTTTCAAGTGTGGTTCCTAAGGGCCACATTCATTTACTACTACTGTTTATCTCTGGTCTCCCATCCAGGCCTGTATATAACCATGTTTTCAATATATGCCTCGTTCAACTTGCTGCTTCCTTCTTGCTTGTTTGGCTTATTTTTTTACCCTAAAGATGGAAGCAATACATTCCTCCAAAGCATCAGCAAAATCTTATGAGAGTACACATCATCACATTCCAAAAGACTGTATTCCTTACTTTGGGGCTTGTTAAAAATAATTATCAGCTGATATCTTCATACTCTCTCAATGGTATTATTTTGAAATGGAGTTAGGAATCAGTAACTTTCTAAAATAACTACTGCAGAATTAATTTGGACTACATCATTATAACACACACACAACGTGGACTGATAAGGATTAATATACAGAACACATGCAACATCACAGGATTATTTTATTCATACCATTCAAAAAGCATATAAAAATTAAAGCAACGCAGAACAATCGATCGTTTAAAAAAACAAGACAGGTACATTTTTGCTTTTAAGAGAGTTAATGCAATAAAACTCAATATTAAACTATGAAATTATCACACTCCTTAATTTAATTGATAACAGACACAATCCCTCTCACAGGAGCAGTACAGTCAATTACAAATTTCAATTCAGCATTGTCACATTCAAAGGCACACTCATACATACATATACACACACACACAAGCATAATGAAATGGTTACCGTGTCACGTTCTTCTTCGTTTGGAAGGTGGTGGTGTTGGTGTGGTTATGGGACTTGATGATTTGTTTGAACTTGTGTCATCAGGTTTTAAGGAACCTCTTGTTGAGCGTTTGGCCACGCGTTTTGGTGAACAGTCATCACTTTTGGAGTCACTCAACTCCCTTATGCGTTCTCTCTTAACAGAATTGACATACGTGGCAAGAGATTCATCTTTCTCGTCCTCCTTCTTAACTTCCTTCTTTTCTTTGATGCTCCCTCTGGATTTAACAGGTTTTGGGTCCTTACTTTCTGTGGATTCTTTCTTAGTTTCCTTTGGCACTTCTTTGATATCCTTCTTGTTGTCCTTTTTACTTTCTTTCCCATCCTTACTTTCTCTTCTGCCATCTTTAATATCTTTTCCACTAAACTTTTTAGATTCTTTAGTTACTTCTTTATCTTTCCTATCTTTATTAACATCTTTGCTTTCCTTTGAATCTTTTTTAAGAGAGTTCTCTTTTAGATCTTTACTGCTTTCTTTCTTTGTAACTTCTTTGGCACTTTTACCGGATTCTTTCTTTTGTTCAAGTTTTGTTTCAGTGTCTGGTTCTACATCACTGTCTGTTTTTTCTTGTTGCAGCTTATCTTTCATCATATTGGCAAAATCTGCTTCAGGAAGGCAGAATTCTCGTTCATCATTGGGAAAGGGTAAGTTTTCTGTATCATCCTGAAACAATGTTTACTAATGAAATCACAATTACATGCACAACTGTCATCCTTTTGATGGTTATGGCTAATCAGATCTTAAATTTCAGATAATTTCTTGGTGTAACATGTGTCAGTCAACAATAATGATATGCCATAACAACTGTCGTCGTGGCATCTGTGCTCAAAGTAGTCCACAAAAATAAAAATTTATTGCTTTAACTTATAATAGTGATGAAATGACATTTTTTGTCCAATCCAGTGAAATTTACATTAGAAACAATGTTTTGCATAAAACTCTATTTCTTATTGAGTTCAGATAACCTGTTAGTTAAATATAAAAATTGAATTTCTCTTTATTATTAATGAAAACTGCGTACTGTTAAATAGTATGTGGCAGCTTCCAAAGTTCCTGGAGGGAAGCAAGTAGTGACAATGTGGCAGGGAAACTGGAACCTGAGTGTACTTCTGAAACACATCCCTCCTACTGCAGAAATGTTCAGTTGCTGGGGACTAGTGAGCACGACAGGCCCCAGAAGAGAGAGTGATGTGTGGAAGATTTCAAAATGGGAAAATGGATTGCCTCAAACAGTGGACATATGTAAAATTTTACCAGAAACTGAGAAGGTTGGTCACAGAAATGCTACATATGTAGACAGAACAGAACATGGTGAGCAAATGAAGTCCCAGCTCAAGGTATTTGAATCACATCACACATTCAAAGACAGTTCTGAACAGCTGGAAGATGGCTTCTAACTTTGTAGAATAAAAGCAATGTGACATGCGCAGAGGGTCTGTGCTCTAGTAACTGTTAAGCAGTATAGATAATTACAGAAAAAGTTAGAATTTCAACTGGTAGTTGTCATACAACACTCAGTAAGAATCTGAAGATGCACTACATCTGACACAGAGTACCAAGAATGCTGATGCTGGAACAATGAAACAATGCAATAGTTTAAGGAGAATCAACGGTGAGCTCATCAACACAACAGATAGGTACCTGAACTTTCCCTGAAAGATAATCACAAGTAACAAAACCTGCTACACAATTCCCAAAGTAAAAAATAACCATCTATGTATGAGTGGAAACTGCCACTGTTGTTGGAATCCGAGAAGTTTAAGCTGAATTTGCAAAAGAAAAGGTGATGTCTTTTTCAACTGGCAGGACATCGTGTACCACAAGCCTATTCATGACCTTTACTTCTGTCCATGGATGAAGGGCCATCTGAGGACATGCCCCTTGAAATATAGAGATAAGATTCAAGTGGTTTTTAATATGAGTTGCAGGTGGTCATGAGTGAAGGCTACCAGAAATATTTCATATAACTGCACAAATTCGAGCAGAAGTATGTAACTGCTGGGGGACAGAATTTTGAAGGCAGCTGTGTCTAAGACTTCCCTAGATTCAAACTACGGCTCATGTTCTGGACTTTTTGAAGCTACTGTGTATACTGCTTACACATGAAGCTAAAATGTACCAACATTGAACATCATTCTTTGGGGTCACTGATGCACATGTGAGTAATGGGAATTTTGAAGGACACTGAAAGTAAAATTAAAATATGAATTCAAAGCATTTGCCATTGGTGTGATGCATTTGAGGATTCTGGCAGATTTGATATCTTCAAGATTTTAATGTGACCGTCATACAAATTTCACTACCAAACCAAGTGTTCCACAATCACGGTGTCTTTTTTTTACTTTGCCTCTCCTGTCTTCTGGGATATAACAAGTTGTAGTCTGCTAAAAGTTGACCAATGTTTCTGAGGAATTCATCGCCTCCAACATTGAAGCTACCGTGGTGAGATTCTTAAGACAGATTGTGTTTGATTTGCTTGAGATTCCCTGCTCTCCTAATGGTCTGATTCAGCAACTACTCAGACATAATGTTAGAAGTTGCTGGATGCGCTCTCCCATGTGATTCAAAATAACGTTTATTGGATTCAGACAACAAGCGTAAAAATTCTGTGGATGATTAAACACGGATATTTCAATGAAGAGTTCTGCTAATGACGATGAGTACACAAAGAGTGGTGCTAGAGATAAAGTTTTTGAAATGGAAACATACCAAATTATATTGCAGAGAGGGAAATTTTCACTGATGGATTTGGGCCGCAGGTTTCAGCAAAGAACACAAATCACATTCTGGAAAATTGTAATTGCTTCTAACAATTAATTTCAGCAGATGCTGTAATTCAGATAAAATGTTTTGCAGAACAATTGATGATAAGGGGGACAAAGTTGCTCACGTCCATGACATTCTTTAAGTCATATGTGTCCCCTGGGTAGTGCAAAATGAGCAACAAATCTGGCAAAGCTTCCCAAAAGAAAAGTGCAAACTTCTTCAAGATGCAACAAAGCAAGAACTTGAGTGGTCTCTATTGGGAAGCAAGAAGCAAAATGTGTTAAATGATCCCAAATGCAGCCATTGGAAACCAATCAATCAACAATTGATGAGAACATAAATTTTTATGCAGAAAAATTGATACGGTCACAGGGGGTGAGTGTTCAAAGAAACAGCTTCACTGCAGCTTTGAAACCAGTGTTATGATAAAACTTCTGTTGTGTTTAGGGTATTAATGTGTGAATGAAGACCTTTACCTTTGTTCTGAGCACTTCAAGATTAGTTACTAGATAATTTAAATCACTCATCCCCACATTCTGCAGATATTCCATAACTTTCATACAAAAAGTGAATTAAGTTTTTTTTTTTACAATTATATTCAGTTATAGAGTTAATTCAGTTCCAGGATGCATGCGTGCATCCTATGGTTATTGATTTAAGTCCTCCAGTGCTGATGCATGAACAATTTAAAAAACTTTTTGAGCCATTTTTAATAAATATATTAAGGTAAACTTGAACTGTGTGTGCAATATATCCCAAAATGTTTTAGTAGCTATCACAGGCTTACGTGTTTGCCCTCACAATTCCGTCTGGATATGGTCATCAAGGTCACAAGACTCAGCCTCTTTGAATACATCTTTATGGTGAGGATTTTGACATCGGCCAGGTTACAAAAGAATCAAACATAAAACTTAAGTTATTATGGTTATAGCTGTACTGTAATTACTTAACCTCAACATTTAAAGCATGTCAGTAATACAAACATTTAGTCATCCATGAATTAACACTTTCACTCTGGAGTTTTCCTATCACTATCATATACAACTCACATTTATACAAAAGTTGATAGTTATATCTTCCATCGATAACCTTCTGAATATCAAAAAATAATTTCTCATTCCTTTACAGTATTCTGATCAGATGTGTATTTAAGTTGGCTATTTAATGTTTGGGCTCGGAACCTTAATAAAGCTCATACTGAGTAACAAGTCTTAGAGAATTGTTATGTTATAATAGTTTGCTATGCCTGGAAACTGTACATGACCTTTAAAATCAGCAACAGCTACACCTGGTCACCATATTGTAAAATTTCACAAATTCTTTGTTGATCCTTGAAGGTGAAAATCCAGAAGTTGCAAGCAGAAATGGCAGAAGAGAAGCAATTTGATTCAAATTTCAGTAAATATGAAGTATCAGCACATGCAAGGTAGAGGCTAGCAACACCTTCTAGAAATCTTAATTCATACTATCCTATGCTCTCAAAGAAACCATAACATATTAAAAGTTGTAAGATTTTGATTGAAGTAATAAAATTCCTATGAGAAAAGTTCTGTTTTCAGTATCAAATTTCAACACCCTCGTTACATCTCACACACCACACAAATAACCATACTTCAAAAAGCCTTTGGAGATAAAATGTAATATCAAATGAAAAGCTAACCTAACAAAACCAAGTATGAACATAGTCAGTGCACCCAGATGATATAGAAATTTCATGGTAACTAAAGTAGGGGTTCGAAGGAAAGCATCTGGCCTCTGCGGTATACTGGCCTCTTTCAGGAAAACGTAGAACAGTCATACAGAAACTATAAATATTAATTTCGTTAGTAACTGTCAGAAAGACATACCAAAGCTTGCATATCATACATGGTATCTAAATGGTCCCAGATCACTTTAGACGTTATATCTCTATTAATAGAGTTTCGGAATTTCTCCAAAATACAGGCCATCTGGAAGTATTTGTTCACTCCTAAAAAGAGAGAAAAATCATACATGAAGTCGGCTTCCATACCACACCAAATACTCTGAAGGTAAGAAAACAGGTATATACTTTGCTACATAAAGGACTAGATTTATATCTTACCGACTGGTTTATGGCCATGCATTGCATAGAATAGCTGAACTTCAGTATCAACATTCCATTCTATACCATCAACAACACTTTCTGTTTTCTCTTTAACCGCCATGTTGTGGCTATCGCTGGTTTTGCGGGATGTCATGAATCGGTAACACTCGTACGTATCGATTACTGACTCTTAGTTGACTCGGAACACGATAGTAAGTACGGTAGGTACCGTGGTGAGCATAGACTATAGAAGAGCTTTAACAGCACAGAATCATCATTGGTCACGTCATGACATACAATTTTTATTAAGCAGCAGAGTGTAGTGCACACTTCTGCTCAGTAACAAAGATTTGAAAATCCATGGTAGTTTTAGTTTGTCTTTATACTTAAATTTCAATAGTTTATAAAGAAAACTGGCCTACGTGTGTCTTGTTCCGTAATCATTTTCGAAATAAATTGATAGATTTCTTTGAAACGTGATTTGGGTTGCATACCACTGCAGGTCATGCGATTCTACCATTTGTTAATTTCATACATATGAACGCACAGGCCGTGTTAAGTTATGACGTGGGAGTGACATTTTTCTTTTCGTAGGTTTCAGTATCGCGACTGGGCGTGACACTATCCCTACTTAACATAGGGTCCTAGGAACTTCATATGGAAAGATAGCCTTACGTGTGTCTATCTTCCTAACAACATTCGAAATAATTGACGAATTCCCATGAAACGTGATTCGCACACCATCCCAGTATAAGTCATGCGACACTTGTACCTTATAATTTCCTGCCTACGAACATAGCGACCATGTCACCATCTGTGTTTGGAGTGACACTAGCACTGCTTAATGTAGGGTCCTGAAAGTATGTGTGGTAATAGTTGTTCAAGAGTATGCAACTTATATTAAGGTGATCTTTTCCTATAATCTGAAACAATAATGTGATTAACGAATGTTCTTCCTGTAACTTGGAGTCTAAAACCGAGATAATTGAAGTCATTCTGTGTTTACAGTAGTGGATATCTAAATGTGAAAATATCAAGCCTGGATACATTTCACCCTTTTATAAATTTTATAATTTTTGTCTTGTTTTTGTTTATGATAAGCTCATTTTCTGATGACCATAGCTGAATCTTATTCAAGACTGCCTGTAGTACCTCTCCATTCTCAGAAGGTCCTAACGTGCTCTTATGAGACTTATGCAACTATATGCCGTGGGTGAATTCATTGGTGATGAGGGCCTCCTTGGAGAACTCCATTGTCTGACATATTCCTTTTGATATGGTTAGGCTGCAGTTTATTGCTATTTCGTTGTATGGGAGACCGGGGTTAGATGTCACACTTTATATAATTTATTTTGCTGTGTAAGTGTTGAATGCATTGAAATAATACCGATACGCAATGTTAGTGTAATCATTGGGCTTTAAGGTAATATTTTTGTATGATACATATAATTCATTTTCTAATAAATATTTGCAGTTCTTTACAACTGTGCATAATGTAACATTCCCCGGTACGGGGTACGTTGTTACACTACTTGGGCATAATTGTTACATTACTCTCTTACGTCAGTGGAAATGCACCTTGAAGTTTTTTTTTTATATTCGTTTGATTAGTATAAATATGCCTAATGTTATTACAGTTTCCATATTTTAATTAATAATATATGCTGCATTTAATTTTAGTTGGATAAAGGACACAAATTCAGATTTTAGATCTGTGATTGCTTATTGAGTATATCCAGTGTTATCTAAAGCGATTGCAGTTACCTCATCACACCAATCTACAGATATGGGAGTTATCAAAGTTGTAGTTTTTACAAACATAAAGTTCGGAGAAAATGTCGTGGCCCATTCATTACACGCTTTGCACTGGAACCATTCTGTGAGGACTTTGAACATTCAGTACTAAAGGAACCAGCTTCCTCTTCAGACCAGCCAACTCTTCAAACATTCCTGTGTAGTTGCTTAGTTTTCCGTGACTTCTATTAACTAACACTGAATAATCTGTTACATTTAACCGGCTTAGTGCTTTCCCCTACTTCAGCATCCAATGCAACTTTTACTGGAGTATCAGCCAAAACAGCTCTCTCATTTGTTGTCTTCCTGTGGTTCTCTCCAAGCGCTCCTGTTTTCGAAAAATGCTGGATGTAACAGGGCTTACATGATGCAGACTTCTCTCTGAAGTTGAATGACCTATGTTTAAGCGTGATGTTGGTTGACTGCTAACATCTCAATTCGAGTTTGAATGTGAGAATTTTGATAGTCCAGTCAGTCAGCCACAGCAGAGAGCTACAGATCCTCATAAGTAAACATGTCGGCCATATTTCTCTTACCGAAAATCCAGACTTGATTTTCTTTGGTGTGTGCATTTGGCAGTGACTGGTTCACTACGGATGGGATGTCTTAAATTACCATAATTTTTCAGGACGAATTCTTAACCATGCGCCAGATGTGTTGAACTTGTCTAAGGGTTGCAGTTTGTGAGCGGTATGCTGTAGCATAGTTGGTTGAGGCACTATGCTACAAGCCGGAAGGTCACGGGTTCAAGTCCCGATGAGGTCATTGGATCTTTTTCAATTGACCTAATCCTTCCAGCCGAACTATGGCCCTGGGGTTTACTCAGCCTCTAACAGAAATGAGTACCAGGAATTAATTGAATAATTTTCCTGGGGATTAAAGCGCGGCCGGCGCGTAAGGCTGACAACCTTACCGCCATCTTTGAGCCTATTGTCTAGATAATTTGGGACCCTCAACGTCTCACAACCCTATGGGCCTTCACGGCCTGTTACAGGGATAGCTTTACTTTTTTTACTTTACTTTATGCGGTAGGAAACACAATAACACCGCTCCATTTTCCTTCGCATAATCAAGCACTACTGAGAGAAAGATGTAACTGCCGATTGTTCAGTAAAAGTAACATAGGTTTCTCTTTCAAAATTACTGTACATTTTATGAAATACTCCATAAACAACAGAAGATTATCTCATACCAGTCACACTCACTTATTATTATAACATCGCTATTAGAGAAATATAAGCAATTAACGAAGTGCTTGTAAGGGCTGAGACACAAGGGATTGACTCACATGAGACTCACGAGTCCAAGGCCTATGAATGAGAGGAGGTAGTCTAGGAGACTTGATAATGAGACTTCTCAGTAGCTGAGGCGTGTTTGTGGTTATGAAGAACAAAAATAAATATGCTTTCCTTTATCGCTAGAGCTCGTGCAGTCTCTCATTATTGAAAGCGAAACAGTTTTAATTAAACGCCTTCATTTAATTCGGATCCTAACCTACCGCACAGATTTCAATCTACTACGATAAAGATCAATTCTAACTTCAGAAAAGAGTTATAAAATTGTTCTAAATAACAATTATTTACACTTCCAAAATTTAGGTCTTCTGCAAAATTTCTGTAGAACCATAAAATTCACTGAGTACTTGGCAGATGATTTTCTTAGATTGGAAGTTTAACCAATACTTCTTTGCCGCTACATATCGTGCGTTTCTTTGGGCATGGAGCCCTTTTTTTTTTTTAATTTTCCTCTTGTGGGTTCTCATATTTGCCACTTCAAGGAAATCAGATGACAGTATAACAGGGTGGTAAGCTGTTACAGTGTAGCAACTAACCCCTAGATAGTCGTAACAATTTGCCCCTTGTATAATGGCATTTTGTTTTGCAATGAATTACAAGAACAAAGACATGTTGTACAGAGTTGAAAACATTACAATAAAATACCACAGTTTGAGTTGTGAAGACGTCGCAAAACCCGTTCGGCAAAATAAAATTAACTCGCTGGTATATAACAGAGATCAAGAAACGGAAAATTACTCGAAGGCAAAGAAAACGTGTGGTTTTTCGTCCGTTATAACGAGGGTTTACTTTGTTGTAATTTTGTCCTGCATTCTAGAAATGAAACTCTAATATATGTGAAGTTTTCCTCGCTCGTACTTCTAAAACAACATTTCTAGCTTCTGTGTCCTTCTTCATGGTATTTATTTTTACCCCAGCAAATTTTCATAATCGGCATAGAACAAGAACCAAGTGCCCTGGTCAGTTTCATTCCCTCCTGATAGTCGTAGACCTTTTATTGACGTGTGTAAACGCAGAGTTGAAAGAAAATGGCGTTAAACTTCCTTGATACTCATCTTCATAAGTAGAAACTCTTTAGACAAATATTTACCAATACCAAATTTATTATACGTTTCTTTTAGAAACGCCTGAATTAGCTTAAATACTTTCGTGCTTAGGCATTAATCTTTTTTTTTAATTCGCTTAGTGGGGGGTGGAGTCCAACTGGGTCCACTCGGCACGGCGGCCACTGATTGGCCTATTGTAGCTTGCCCCAGGTTATTATGAAGATGGAGAATTTGGTGGATTGAAGATTGGCAGGGGAAACCGAAGTACTCGGAGAAAACTCGTCCCAGCGCCACTTTGTCCACCACAAATCCCACTTGACCAGACCTGGGATCGAACCCGGGCCGCCGCCGTGGGAAGCCAGCGACTAACCGCTTGAACTATGGCGCGGCCGTGCTTAGGCATTACAAAACCAGAGAGCACGCTGTGCAATACTTCTCTCTTAGTCGAGTCACAGGTTTCCTTATTTTTCTGTTCTTAGTTTACTTACCTAGGTTTTCAATAACCCACAATATATAGCGCTGAACGATGGAATAATGAA